ACCTGGGCCACACGCTGGCTCACCTCCAGCTGGCGGGCCACCAGCTCCCCAGGGCCCTTTCTGCCAGGCAGCTTTCCAGCCTCTCATCCCCAGGACCTTGCAGCGTCTCAGCACGGGAGAGTGTCAGCCAAAGCAGGGGGAGGGTGCCAGGCAGCAGAGCAGGGACCGAGCGGGCCCCACGTGCCGTGCCAGCCAGCTCACCACGGGGGCACTCGGGCAGGGACAGGGGCAAGAAATCTGCTGCCTACCTCAGCTGCAGGCACAGACACGGCGTGGGCGTGACACGAGAGCCAGGCCACAGAATCCTCAGTCATTTCGGATGGAAAAACCCCTGAAGATGATCCCTCCATCCCTCCCTCCCTCCATCCCGGCCCCTCCCTGCCCTGCCCCGTGTAGATTTCCCCCATTTCAAACCCCATGTTGGTGATGGGGTTGATCCGTGGGAGACCCGTGGGCAGGTCCTCTCTCCCAGGCACTGCCTCCAGCAGGCAGACACCTATTCCCCACAACAACCACAATCAGCATTTTATTCACCAAAATAATGATGAAATGACTCCGACACTCTCAACAGAGGGAATTAATCACTGTAAATGCTCCAGAAGTGAAAGCCAAGGCCAGAAATGAGTTCACAGTCTATGAAAGAAAAACCCAAACCCTGTTTTACCAGACCTCCAAACCTGGGGCTGGTGGCACAGGGCAGTGGCTCAAAGACAGAATAACAAGCTACACGTGGACAAAATCTGAAAACCAGTTTCTTGCTGCTTCAAAAATCAATTGCAGTTGAAAAAAAACCTAAAGGGAGCATTTAACCGTGGCTGCAAGTGACATGTGAAAGGAATAATGACCCAGCAGATCGATTTTCTTAAAGAAATGAGCTGTGATCCTGAATGCTCTTAGAAATTCATCTCTGAGAGCTTCATGTTAGGGCTTAATGTGTACTTCAGGAGCTGCACGTGGGTCCTCCTAATTGCTGCTCCAGTTTCAATGGAAAAGGCCTTTCCTGGGGGGTACGGGGCTGTGGCAAAAATCCCTCTCTGCAAAATGAGCAGCTTTGCTTGGAATTGTGTCTGCAGGGTTGGGCTCTGCTCCCAAGGAACAAGGGACAGGACAAGAGGAAACGGCCTCAGGTTACCCCATGGGAGGTTGAGGTTGGACATGAGGAAAAACTTTGCTGAAAGGTTTGTCCAGGGTAGTGGTGGAGTCCCTACCCCTGGAGGGGTTTCCAAGCCGTGGAGATGTGGGGTGAGGGACACGGGGCACTGGGGACCTGGCAGGGATGGGGGAACAGTTGGATTTGATGATCTTAAAGGTCTCTTCCAACCAGAGTGATTCTACAAGTCTGTGACTCTTGCTCTCCCAGCAGGGATTTCTGTAAATACCCCATTGGTTTGTTTTCCTAAGGAGCAGCACTTGCTCTGGCCACGAGGAGAAACCACTGACTGGGATGGCAGAGAGGCACCCAGGAGGACAGGCTGGACTCCAGAGGTGGCAATACCTGGGTATCTCCCCCCTTCCATGGAGGGAACATGTAATTCCAGCATTCTCCCTGGTGTTAATCACACCTTTACTCCTGGAACTCTTACAGGCACCTCCAGGTTCCTGCCTGCAGCTTCTCGGAGAAAAAGCAGCAGGGCTTTTTTTGGTAAAGCTTCTTTTTTTGGTAAATTCAAAGTGCAGATAAATACTTGCTTTGGTCCCTTTTGCTCTGGAGGATTTTTTAGCACTGCCAGTGAAGTGGTTCCACAGATCTCCTACTGCTGTTGCTGGGTTTTGCCCTTTTGTTTTTAATCGTACCTGTAAGTTTTACAGAAATTTAGCTGTGGGATACACAATATATTCACCTTTTTTAGCTCTGCAAAATAGTTCTGTGGAAAGGCACGTATACAAAAATATTGACTAGCTATGGAGTAGAAAAATTGTATTTTGGCTTGCAAAGAAGTGGGGTCTTCTCTGCCTGCTGCTCCCAGAGCACAGAGCTGAGGTGCAGGAGCTCACCTCCCTCCCCTCCGAAGCTCAGACTGACTTCTCCAAGTCCAGACAGGCTCCAAACCACAGGACCCTGGGATCCAATTCCTGCCTTTTCTACTGCAGGCTTTTAGGAAGGGGGTTTGGAAGAGATGTTGGTTTGACATTTCTCCTCGAATCTCATGTTCAGCAACCAAAATGTGGGCGTTTGACTTCCAGGTACAGCATTTTACCCGGCTAACGGCCCACAATTAACACAACCACAGGAATTTTGGTTCTCTTCCTCTGGCAGCACTGTAAATCTTCAGGCAGCAGCTGAAACGTGGCCACTTTTTCATGGATTCAGCATGGATGGATGTCAGCTGAGCAGGAAATACAGCAGGATTTTGGAGGAAAAGAAGCCTAAGAAGCATTTTTGGTATTTGTAGAGCGCATCCATTCCCCACCAGCACAAGTGGGTGCCAACGTCCTTCTGAGCCTCCAGTGGCATCAGCGACAGGTCATTTGGCTAATTTGGGCTGATTTGGACACAACCCCATCTCTAAAGGAAGGCTCCACTTTTGAAAACTACGTCAAGAAACGGAATTTCTTC